TTTGCTTTTTTTTACAACTCTCATTAATGTTGATCGTTTTTACAACTTTTTGTATTTCTTACTAATAAAATTTTTGAAATATTGAAATATAAATTTTTGTTAAATAGCGACAGGTTATATTTTAAATGAATTTTGAAGACTTTCAAGTTAAAATTAAACGTCAGTGCAGTTGTCAACGGTTGAAATGAAAGTAAACCTTTGATGGAACAACGTAAGAATCATTTAAGATACCAGACAAGGTGTGTGTTAAAATGACGTACGTATGTATGATTATCAGATTTATTAAGAGTTAATAAGCTACTTTGTTTTAGTTGGTAGTGTAAATAGTTTAGTCACTTGTCTTGCAGTTTATAAAATAATGTTTGAATGGTCTTTTCTTCTTGGTATCATGTTATCGTTGGCTAATGATGCATAGAAGTGAGATAACAACAAATAGTTAGAAGTTGATTTGAAATCATAAAAAAACAAAATTATGAATCTTAAAAAACAAAATTATGAATCACAAAAAGTATTGATTGATTGATTGATATATATAAAATATAAGATGACGATAGAACGAAGTAGGAATCAAATTGTCTTTCAAATATTTAAAGAAAGAGATGATTGATTGCCTGGAATGGCTGGCTGTGTGATTGATTGAAAGATCGCAAAATTATTGAAGAAACGAATGCTCTCTGATGATTGCAGCCAAAAAATAATGAATTTATATAAATCACTATCTCGTTTTTCAACGTATATATCAAACAAAATGATTCCCCTAAAAAGTTTTATAAGAACACATACACACGCGCATACCAGAACAAACACACGCACAGGAACGTACACACACGCACGCACAAAAACATACACGCACAAACAAGCACACACACTACAAATCACAAATTGAGCATAAACACGCTGGAAATAAAAATTAATTTCATTTTTGAAAACACGTACAAAATACATTAATAAATCCTTTTGAATGTGCACGCACCTAATAACACACAATTAACGCACACACACACGCACACACACACACTCGCACATACACACATATATACACACATAATATATATATATATATATATATATATATAACATATATATAACAAGAACATAGTATTAATAAGATTTTTATAATATTAATGATAAACAAAAATATAGATCACACGAAAAATACAATTTTTAGCACGAATTTAACACATGAGATTATTGATAAACATTAGACACATGATAATAATATTATTAAACTAATAATATAAGTGTACAAACATCTGCAAGCGTACACACACACATACACACAAACGCACGAGCACATCTTACGTAGAAGACACTAGCCACAAAACATAACAAACAAAACATCAATTCGATCACTCATTTGTTTTTTCATTCATTCATTCATTTATATCACACTCATTCATTCAATTTGAGCTAAGCCGACGTGAGAAAAGTAAACAAGAAAACTATTTGTCAATCTGTAGAAACGTTTATGATTGATCGATTGACTGATATGCCAATTGATTGATTGATTGACTGATATGCCGATTGATTGATTGATTGACTGATATGCCGATTGATTGATTGATTAATTGACTGATTGATATACCGATTGATTGATTGGTTGATTGATTGAGCGGTTGATTTGATCAACCAATCAATACAATAAATGGTTATTAAAATTACGACGACGACGATGATGATGGTGGTGATGATGAAGAAGAAGATGGTGATGAGACGATGATGACGATGAAAATAGTGATAAGTGATGAGGAAAATGATGGAGTTGATTAAATAATAATAATAATTAGATTAAAATTATAGCGGTTGGAAAAGCGAAAATGAATGAATAAATAAATGAACAAAAATTAATTATGACGTGAATGTTAACAGTGATGACGTAGACAATTATGATGACGTCGAAAATGGTAATAATGACGAAACTGATGGTGGTCATCAAGATGACGATAATATTTAAAATTCGTAATAAGGAAAATTATGAAATCAAAGCGACAATCTAGAAGATATGTACTCCTTACTAAATATTCACGGCTAGAAAGTTATTAACTATAATGATGTTCATATCTTGAATGATTTCTAATTACAACAATTAACATAAGCGGTATAAAAATTCATTATTAGTCAAAAACTATAAAGAGTTATTAATTAGCGTAATTAAGATGGGGTTCTTTAAAACAACAAAAATATTAGCCTTGATTATTGTCAATCTTTACATCGTCATCATTCTCACCATTATCGCGATCCTCATTAATCATCATCTTCATCATCGTCACCATAGCCAACATCATCATCATTATCGTAATAAAACCCAAAATAAAATAAAAACCAAACCAAACACATCATCTGATAGATATATTAAAAATACAACTTGAAAAAAATTACAGCAACAATAAAAATATAATACTAAAAATAAAATATACAAAGTTTCACAGAAAAGAAAAAAAACTACAAGAGTAAAAAAGTCCCAACTGGACAAACCTTTTCCTTGCGAGCAACTTGTAGGTGAGGAGGGCAGCCAGAACGGGGATAGCGACAAGAAGGATGACGCTTGCGAACATTTTGACGCTGGTGGCTAGTGGCTAGTAGCAGATGGTTGGTTGGTTGGTGGCTGGCCGGTTAGGTGGAGCTTGTAGCTGGCTGAATGGATGGTTAAGAGGAATCTGAAAATTTTTTGTTTTAATAACTTTAATTAAAATTTTGATAAAATTATGTTATATTCGATATTTTTAATTTAAAAAATTGTTCATAATTTATAATCATAACAACAAATTAATTGTCATAAAACAGGAAAAAAAAACAGAAAGACTAAACTTTACACATTTTTACGTAAATAAAAATTACAGAATCTACAAATTAAATACCTTTAGTGGCGGATCTCTTGCTGTAAAGTTCTTCTAACAGTGCTGATGTCAGCGATGCTTTTGAAATTTTTTTTCTTCTCAAATTTATTAACGGCTTGATTTTTCTTAAACTTTTTATTCGTTTGTCAAAATACTAAAAAGTTTAAAATTTTTAATTGTCGTTGAAATTGTAATCAGAGCGTTAATCAGAAATTTTAAAATACCGCAAAGAAAGTTATGATAGAGCAATTAGATTTCAAAACATTACGAGAGTAAAAAAACTCTTAAGAGGTATGAAGCAGACGGACCAAAGAACAAGAAAATAGACAATGAGAAAAAATCGGCGCAGAATCATCAACGCTGACGATCTTCTTCTATTTATACTCTTTTGCTTCATGTCGGTAATAGTAGTAGTTATACCAATGAATAATAGTAAAGTATCGCTATAATATATATATATATATATATATATATATATATATATATAAATGTAGAAGCACACACACACACACACACACATATATATATATATATATATATATATATATATATATATGTGTGTGTGTGTGTGTGTGTATATATACACACAAGTGGTTATATTAATAGGTGAGTATATACGTTTATGTGAATCTATACATGTCTAATGCTCATTTGAGTTAATGAATGTATGTATGTATGAATCGTACGTATGTATGAGTATTTGGATGTATAAAGTCTATGTAAGCTAATAATAATGAAGTATAAATGTCAATCAGAGGGCAGATACTATTGAATAAATCGTTCGATTCATCCACTCTCTTTTCATCTCTCTTTTTTTTCATTCATCTATTCATTCACTTGTTATCACTTTCTTACTTTTTAGTATTTTTCCATATATATATATATCGGTGTTATATAAAAATTCATGAATGTATTTATTTACTTATTCATTTCTTTATTTATTTACATTTCGTGTTGGACATTGAATCTATCTGATAGACTATCTTTAGATCGTTCAACTACACATTTACTTTTTATTTTATTTTTTCAATTTTAAAAAAACCTCATCTGAAAAACGGTTTTATTTTAATACTACATAAAAAATAAATATATAACTTTTGTAAAAAAATGTTTTTTTTTTTTATTAAGACTCAAGTCATGTATGATTAATAATTACAGAATTATTTTTTATTCTGAATTCCATTACAGAAGAATATTCTCTTTACATGTTGCCCTGTTAGACGCCAGCCAAAGAAAAAAAAACTTGAAATTAGTTAGCAGCAAAAATCAAGATGAAAAAAGTATACTCTGGAGAAATGAAAAGGAAAGGCAGCGTAAGTAGTATGGGGAGAATTATTTGTATAAAAATTTCGCGTGTATATATTACAAGAAAAACATTTCTCCATTCATCGCGAATTTGTGCAGGAGATATTAATCTAACTACAAACATTTACTTTTTCTTTGGTGTGCTGGATCTGGATGCACGTCTCTCTCTCTCTCTCTCTCTCTCTCTCTTTCTTTCTTTCTTTCTCTTTCTGATGATGATGTGGTTTTGGTTTTTTAGACAGTTTTTGAAAACATTGTCTGTATAAAAAAATGTTGTTGTATGTATGTGTTTGTGTAAATATTTTTTTGTTTGGAAGCATGTTTGTTAGTATTGCTTGAGTGTATCTGTATACCTGTGTATGCCTGTAGTTCTATGTTAATTGTGCGTGTTATTCCTACCTGTGTCACAAAATGTGGGTTAATATTGTTATATCCGCCGGAATGATCGAATTAGGCTATAATATGATTAATTATTGGTACCTTGCTATATTTGTCGTTGATTGTAAACCATGGAATCTTTCCATAGCATAGAAGATTGTAAAAATCTACTATAGAGGGTATATAAGGGGCTGGAGTAGCGAAGTCAGTAGCGAGATTTAAAGAGAAGTTGTAATTGCAATTTATGTAGTTTCTTATATTAGTTTAGTGTTTCTATTGTCGTTGGCATTTGAACAAACGTTCAACCAAGTTTGCTTGCTTTTGAAGCAGTTGTGTTCATCTATCGGAAACCTTGAACCTTCGTGATATACATAGATATCTTTGAAGTTATAACATTAGTATTGGAAATAACAAGCGTCAAAGTGTTACAATATTGGTGTCAGAAGTAAGATTTTGATTGAAAATGTTTTGCAATAAAGAATGCCGTCAGTTGAAAAACTCGAAACAACTAATCTGAAGAAAGAACTACGAAAACGAAACCTCGACTCGAAAGGAGCGAAGGCAGTTTTAATAAACCGCCTAAGGGACGCTCTGACAAACGAAGGTAACAATCTGGATGAGTAATTATGAAACTGGTGACGAAGACGACGATGAAGGTCTTGAAAATATTCGAGAAGTTAGCAGTGACAAACGCATGGAAACTTTTGATAGGCAGTGCGACTTGCCTGCTTTTCATCTTAAAAGTATCAATGATTATTTAAATGATAAAAATATCAGTAAAGGGGATGTTTATGCTGACGCGAATGTCCATTCTATTCATTGATCGGTGACAGATGATTGTTCAAGTTTGGAGAAAACACCTCCAACACGTGACTGGGAAGAAAGCTTGGTTCTCGTCTACGTGTGTTGTGTATGTGTGTTTGTTTGTGTGTCGCTAATGTGAATGTTTTCGTTTATTTGAACGAGTTTGGAATGATTCAGAGTATGAAATTCAAAGTGCTGAGATGGAAGAAAAGAATGAGATCAGAAGTTGAACCACCCGATCTCAATATTGTAATAACATATTGTCATTTGAGGTTATATCTGCTTAGTCAATAGTTACCGCGGACAAGTTAACATTTGGAATTTTTTCTAATTTTTAATTTTAGCAACATTCACCCCGTAATATTCATTGCAGAAAAATTTAAATTAGGTGTTGATCACCTTTTCGGTTTTAACTAATAAAGCAGAAGCACCTATGCATATTCATTGCAGAAAATGTTGAACTCTCTTTCTGGTATCTTCCTATTGTTTTTAAAATATTGAAATCGGGTGGTTCAACTCACGATCTCATTCTTTTCTTCTATCTCAGCACTTTGAAATTTTACATCACAAGTTAACATTTGAAAAGATTTCAAATATTAGCTTGTTTACAGTAACTATTGTCTAAATAGATATAACCTCAAATGACACAATTCATAACAGCTATGAGTATAATGAGTTTAAAGAAGCAAATGTTAATAAACATAACAAGTTGTCTCCTAAGAGCCACAGGTGCTGCCAAAAGAACAATACGTTCAAACACAATGGACTATTTCTCATTGTTGCTGGTTAGTTAAAATGATTGCAAATAAACAAACATGAAAATAACAAATTATGACAGATGAGTGAATCAATTTTTGTTTAACGGAGTGATGGTTGCATTTGACACGCGTGTCGTATAATTAACGTACAGCAGCCAACAAATGCATCGAGCTTATTCTAAAAAAGCGAGATGCGGAACATTTATTTGAGGTAAATGACAAAATGATTGCAATCAAGTCAGTGCTATACAAACAAACTTTAATAAAGTCGAGTTATAATATGTTGACATTTTTTTTTCATTGAACCGTGCAAGCTGCAGCTGGGAAATCTACAAACCGAGCCAAAGAGAATCGCCTCAAAACTAAATGACAAACAGGACCACTTTAAAACTGCATGGCTTCGTTGGCTTCGGTTTGGCTGGGCTCGGTTTAAACGTGGAATTGAGTTAGGAATCAAAGTTTTAGTTCTGTTGAATGCTAAAATTTACTGCTCAAATTTTAGATAGGCGTTATTTAAAGATACACTAACGCACATAAAAAATAAATACACTTACACTTATCACACTACAAGCTTCATTCACGCAAGTATAAACACACACCTATAAAAATACGCACAGATAAGTAAGCATACACACAGGCACACTCACACACATACAAGCAAGTATTTGCATACAGGCGCGTTCTTTAAGCACATTTCTAGTGGCTCCAATAAGAGGAACTTAATTAGCATTGAAAGAAACGATTTCTAATGGGATTTCTTGTGTCGGGAAGAGATGAGTTAATCCTTTGATATTTCATAACTTAGTCGAATATTGCGTGTCTCTCGCTAATACCTGATATGACGAAAAAGATGATAATGATGATAACATCGACGATGATGATGACGACGACATTAACGATGATTATGATGATGACGATTGCCATCATGGTGATCTGCGCAAAGTAAATGATGATGATTTTTATGTTATTGATGACGATGATGATGAACATGAAGACGTTGGTTATTAGGGTTGGAATAGCTGTTCAAATGATGATGATAGTTTCAATAAAATGGCAATGATGACTGATAAGATGATGACAAGGAGGACAAATAGTTATGATGATAGCAATGATTTCTTGGAGGATGATTACAAAACATAATAGAGAAAATGATGATTTTGATGGTTAGAAATTGAACGAGGATCATGTAAGGAAACAAACGATACTGAACAACATGTTTGTGATGATGAAAGTCTAGTAAAATGATTATGGCACCGGTGATTAATTTCACGGAAGTTCGACACACATAAATTTGAAATGAATTTTATTTGAATAACAATTTGCTAGTAAGCATTCTGCAAGTTCATGTTTCTGAGACCTTTATTTTGTTATTTTAACTCCGTTTTTTGTTGTTCTTATGATAATACGCACGTATTTCGTAGATTATACATTTCTTTTTCACAATTTCTTTTTCCTCGATTTAACTTGTTTTTGAAACTGTTGCCACCATTACTTAATATTTTCATTCCATGTAGCTGTTATTTATGGTCGGTACTCGCTAGCAGGTTTGGTCACATTGAATTTCAATGGAAAAATATTTGATGGCAGAGACTAGCAGAGGCTACCGGCCGCCCGTTCAACTTGTTTAATGTCCTTGCACTCAATTCTTTGATCACGGATTTAGTATGGATGACATTGTGTTTCACGTTGTATATGTGTGTCTGTTTGTGTTTGTTTGTGTGTGTGTATGTATGTACGTGTGTGTGTTTGTTTGTTTGTGTGTATGTGTATGTGTACGTGTGTGTGTGTGTGTGTGTGTGTGTGTGTGTGTGTGTGTGTGTGTGTGTGTGTGCATACACAGGTTTTCTGTTTTTTTCCGTTAGGGTATTTTGTAAAAAAACTTTTGTAAAAGTTTACAAAAGTTTAGGACAACGAATGCATTTGTTCGACGCTGTGTGTTTTTTTTACGTTTATAATGAATTATCACTTGTGAATAGAAAGCAACAAAACTGTCACCTCCAACCGAATGTTCTTAGAAGCACAACAGCAAGTAGGTTGTTGTGTGTGTTGTAAGTAATGAATTTCATACAATTCTAATTATGACTTGAAACCACAGAGAAGAAGAAATGAATGATGATTGATGCGTGCAATAATTGTTTTCTTAAAAAATAGTTACTCACATGTATATTCCGAAAATGAAAATACTATTTAAAGAGTGACAACAAACATTTCAACAAAAACGATAGCAACATAAAAAAAAACTTTTATTTTTAATAATAATAATCACGATGATTGCATAGAGGAAACAATTAGCATTCGATTAGAATTATGATTCGATGCGTTCTTGCTTGCTCGGTTGGTTGGTCGGGAGGAGATCAAATGAGCCGCTGCATAATTTTTACATCAAGCCTTCCGAAGCGCGTGTTTCTCAATTTTATGTCATTCAAGTGCGTACCATCGGGTTGAGCTTCTGATGACGACGACGACAATGTTTATGCGATGATGATGATGATGTCTATGTTGTGATGACGATGATGATGATGATGTGAAGATGATGAATATGCGGTGATGATGAGGATGATGATGATTATGTGATGATGATGACATGACGTTTATGTGATGATGATGATGACATTTATGTGATGATGATGATGGCATTTATGTGATGATGATGATGATGATATTTATGGGGTGGTGATCATGAGGATTATGTGATGCTGCTGATGATGGTTATGTGGTGATGATGATGATAATGATGACGATGGTTATGTGTTGATGAAGATGACGATGATGTTTATGCAATGATAATGATAATGATAATGAAGCAATGACCATTATGACGATGATTCGATATCATGTCTACAACTTTAGTCACAATCAGATGAGGTGAGGAAGAAGAAAAAGATGATGATGATGGTGGTGGTGATGATTGTGATGACGCCGACGACGATGATATTAATATTGATGACAATAATAATAATGATAACAATGATGATGACGATAAAGAAAAAGATGTAAATGATGGTAATGATAAACATTAAACTATGAATGCTGTAGTAAAGTATTTTTTCTAAGTCATTAAAACAACCGTAGGTTATTTACTCGTAAACATCATTAACTAACATCAACCTCGTCTGATATTTATTTACTATGTTATATTAAAACCATCTCTTAATTATTATTACTTTTTTTTGTTAAAGAATAATATGACATAAATATTGAAGAAAATTTTAATATAATTGTTAACCGGTTTTTTGATGTTTGTTTTGACCTGACCTGGTTGCTCAAGACTATCGTTTGTAAGGTTTTGTATGTGTGTTTTTAGAAGCAGTAATTAGCAATGTTTGTAAACACCAAGAGATAATTTACCATCAGCACCACTACTTCTACTACTACTACTACTACTACTACTACCACTACTACTACTACTACTACTATTACTACTACTACTACTACTACTACTACCACTACTACTACTACTACTATTACTACTACTAATACTACTATTACTAATGCTATTACTGTTATTATTATTATTATTATTATTATTATTAATATGAGACTTAACGTAATTTCTACGTTCACAATAATAATTTTATTAATAGTTATAATAGAATAATAATTAATGATTAATATTCATGATAGCATTTGCATATTTTATAGCTGAATATATAAATATTTATATAAATAATTATTTCCCATGAAATTTAGTGGAGAGATATTGAGGCATTGAAAATGTTACAATGAGGTGTCAGTTTGTTTGCAATTGTCGTCAAACCTAGTTAATTATAACTTCTAGATATATTCTGCATATTTAAAAGCATTTTCACGATTTAATTTAATTTATTACTCGTAATAATCTTCATAATTATATGAGATTTTATTCATGTCATTATTTTATATTATTATTATTATTTCCGTATTTTCATAATAATTTAATCATTTTTATTCGGAAAATTAATTCTACTAGTAGTTATCGAAAAGAAGAAGATGATAGCAGTTGTAATGATGATGATAATGATGAGGGTAATGTTTGTGATGACGATGATGGTTATAATAATGACGATGATGGTGGTGATAATGAGTGATAATGCCAAAATATGCAATAAGGTGGAGAGAGACCAAAATTCTGGCTAAAAGGCAGTTAGCGATGACCACGATGGCTCTTCTATCGAGAAGAGAGCATCAATTGGGAAGGACAAAAACATCGAGATGAAAAAAGTTTCTCCTTTAAAGGACAGTAATTAGTTATAGATTATAGTTAGTGAGATTGATGGCATTTGAGAAAACATTGACCAAGAAGAAAAGGTGATGGTCGACAAGTATGGAGAAACTACAAAGAAATTGTTTAATTATTGTTAATAATAATATTGTTGTTGTTATTATTAAAAATAAAAATTATGACTGCGAATAATAAAAAAATTATTATTATTATTTTTATTATCATTGTTATTCAACATATTTTATAGGTTCATCAACGTGAATGTTCGAGATTGAATGACTGATATGAAATGTCACACGTTATTCATCAAACATGTGGCTCAACAGCATATCATCGTCGTCGCCATCATCATCATCGTCATCATCATCGTCATCATCATCAACTTCATCATCATCGCCATCACCAACGTCATCATTATAGTCATCATCATCATCATCATCATCATCATCATCATCATCATCATCATCATCATCATCATCATCATCATCATCATCATCATCATCATCATCATCATCATCATCGCCATCACCAACGTCATCATTATAGTCATCATCATCATCATCATCATCATCATCATCATCATCGCCATCATCAACGTCATCGTCATCTCATCATTGTCATCATCATCGTCATCATTAACATCATCATCATCATCGCCATCATCAACGTCATCATCATCACCAACATTGTTATGGATATGTTATGCTGACAACATTCATCATCATAGTCCTGCTTGACAACTCTATCAAAGTTAAACACATCATCATCAATAGTTTAATAATAATGACTTAAAAGTGATGGTGATGTTGATGATAATACCGATGGTAGTGATTATGATGATGATGCTGATGATGATAGCGATGATTACAATGAAAATATATTCCTCTACGTCGTGTTGATTTTACGACCATGTAGACATTTTAATTTTTAACTGACAACTCTCAAATAATCGCACATGTATACATAATCACACACGCACAAACTTGTTTGTACACATCCAAATACAAACACACTCAGCACGCACATGCACATACATACAAGTTTGTAAACATCGTTTGTTTATATTTTGAGAATAATTTTTCAATTGTCTCTAAATGTATGCTTGTATATTTTTCCTTCAAAGTGTGTTTGTTTGAGATTGTATATTTTTGTAATTTCGTTCGTTAATTAAAAGGCGTGCACGCGTGTGTACGTGTGAGCGTACGCTTGTCATTAAAATTACTAAGACATAACGATGCAAGCAATTTGT